GCCGCAGCAGCGCACATGTGCCTACGTCGGACGGCTACCAACTACCGCCCCAAAACATAGACGAGTTGGTAATGTTCAGGGTCCCATAGCATATGTTAGTTATTAAACTGAATAATCTCATTCTTACCAGATCATAACATTATGTGTGTGTGTATTGAATTTTAACTATAAATTAATGTTTTCACCTTAATTTTTTTAAATATATTCTTTAACATCAACTCTGTCAAAACCATTTCTAACAAATTCGTTTGATGACCAATATAATGAAATTTTGTTAGTAAGAAATTTAATTTAATTTAATCTTTGCTTGGTAAGAAATGATGCTCCTTATGTGCCTATGTTGCCTTGCGTGTCTTTCTTATCTTAAACAAATTAGAAAAAGAAGTGATTAAGTCAAAGTATGGACAAAATAATGAGCACCATGTCTCAAGTGCACCTGCGACCTATGTGAATCCTAAATATAGTACAAGCTGTTCCTGTTGAGTGCCAACCCCACTTTGAGGAAGGAAGAGATTGATGCCTAACTCGCACCATAATCTCATTCCTTATTGTTAATTACGAAAGGAAAGTATCCCTACTTTATGGGAGCAGTACCTGCCTAGAAGGAGGAACCCTTAAATTTTGTTCCACCACACATGAGAAGTGCACGTTGTTTTCTCCCTACAAAAACTTTTCCATTTCCTCAAAAAGATATCCTCCATTTTCATCTTTCAATCATGAAAAATGCTTCCTACAAGGCGTTAGGCCTCTCAATAATGAGACGATAATTAGAGTAGGCGTATAAAAAATGAGATTAGACCCTTCTCTTTATCAGCAAAAGGAGGTTTTATTGAAAATTTGAGTGCAACACTTATACTACAGTCCGATGCGAAAAAAATATAAATTAAAAGCTACAACATGCCCTAACCCTTACTTAAGTGACCTTTCACGTACAGATAAAGAGTATCATCGCATCCATCTCAATTCCAGTAAAATCTAAAGCTTTTGTGTTAGATTACCTGACTACAATATTATCATCCTTCGTGGCATTTGTTTTCTGAAATTTTGATTTCTTTGTTAATTTGTTAGTTTTGATAATTATAAAAGTGATACATGAATTGTAAGTTTGAAGAACAAATTAATATTAATGTTTTGTGAAGGGTGAATTTCATCGATTTATTGCTATGATTGTGAAACAAAATTAATGTCACTTTTGGACTTTTTGCCTACCTTCTATTTGATTGTTCAGAGAATTAGGAAAGAAAATGTACATAAATAGTAAATAGAAGTAGAAAAGAAAAAAAATAAACTATTTTAAAAAATGAGAGGAAAAGAAAGAGTAAAAAAATTTAAAGAAAATGAATGAAAAATATTTTTTACGGTAAAAACATTTTTAGCCCTACATTCAATAGAAATAGGACTTGTTTCAGTTTCTTATAAAATTTATTTTATTTTGGGGGAGACACTTTTAGAAATATTGAGTTTAATTTTTTTAAAATTAAAATCTAAAAAATAATTATTTTAAAAAGCTATCTTGAGTAACTCAAGAAAAAAAAGAATATAACTATCTTTTATAACTATAAAAAACATATATTATATAAAAATTTTAAAACAAATAATTTTGTATAGTTCTTCAAATTAATTTTTTAAGCTTAAACAAACATACCCATAAGCAAATGTTGCAACCATTCTCATTTTCATTGCATAAAGGGGAAGCATTCTTTTGTGGGATCCACGGCTTCTCTTTTCCCCCCTTTCTCTCCACCTTAGTTGCCATTCCCAAAAGATGCACTTTTCTGTCCCTAAACCGCACGAAATAGTTAATTAACTCGTTTAAGTTGCAAAGCTTAATTTCATTACCTTATTCCATTTTAAGCCATGCCCGTCAATTTAAATACAGGTTTCCCAATGTTGTTCATTTATCTTGTTAGTAAATCAATATCTCATGTCCATAGCCAAGTGAAATCCAAATTCTAGCCAACTCAATAGCATGAGTTACAAACCAAGAAAAGCCATATCAACAAAGAAGTGTAATTCATAGAACATTTGACAATCTTAAGTCTCAACAGTGCGAATTATGAGTTAACTTTTTCATGAATACAGGAAAGTGGGTTATAAATAAGACCTTACTTCCAAGTGAGTTGAATTAAAAATGTCTTACCTACTGAAAGGGCAAGTTGGCAATTGATGGTATGAAACGGAGAAATTAGGAAAAAGTTGGGAAGGAAAAAAGAAGGTATTGACAATAATTAGCAAGGCCCAGTTTTGCAGATAGATGAGAGGAAGATTGATGTCCGAACAATGTGTACCTATAAAGGACCCCAGGGAATGGCCATAAAATGTACACATGTGTGATGCCATTTATCAAGTTGGTTAAGGTACTATCAACATTATTATTGATCCATATCTATGTGAATACACATGTATATCCCCAAAACAGTGTTGGATAGAAGTACTTCCACCAAACAATGGCTTTATGTAAGGCATCCTTGTCTATTATTTAGTAATCTCCAAGGTCCTCATGATGCGGTGAGGATCTAGAGATGAATCTAAAAGGACCCACTACAAGGGTTGCATGTGATGTGGGTGGAGGTTGAACCAATTTAACAATATCGAGGATGTAGAAAGTAGAGAAGAAATAATAAGTACCCCTATTCCTATTGCTCTTGAATTTGACTGTCTTAAGAAAGCAATAAATTAAAATTGCAATTCTCCCCTACCTCAGGGCACTCTTGGCTGCGCCATTTATCAAAATTTTCTTGAGCCTTGAGAGCTGTAAAATATATAGGAATTAAAGAAATATCTCATGGAAGCTTCTAATGTCTCTACCTAACACTTTTGAAAAAGGAAAAAGGGATGGTTGATGGTTGAAAAGCGACGCTCCCCATTATCTGTGGGAAGGGCATAGTTTTGGGATCTGGTTGAAAATTGGCTACCACCCATTCTGTCCTTTCTGCTCGTTGTTATCTAATATCTATCTATGTCTTACGTTACTTTTTTCAAATGTAATTCTTTTCTTTTTTCATATTCTCTCTCTTTATAATTTCATTTTCATTTTTACTTACTCTTCTATTCTCATTTCTGTGCTGTTCTAATTTAAAAATTAAATTAAATTTATGAGATGAAAATTGATGTACAAAATATGTGTCTTATTTATCTGATAAAACATTTTCATGGTGCCCATGTACATGTACATGTACATGTACACACATAGTGTTATTAGGTTGGGGAAAACATCCCCATTAATCGAAGCCACCAAGAACTGACCAATCTAATCGAATTGCTCTCTGACCCCATGACATGACCCTGAGTTAATGCGGCAGATAAATTTTGAATGGTTGGTAGGATCAATTCACTGCCCATTTTATTGTAGTTGCTCCCACCTTTTAATGTGATTTATGCCATTTACCTGTTAAAAAGTTCCTTATATCTTTTCTCAATACGCAATAATGTAGACAGTATTCAGAAAGAATACTCGCACCAAGCAACCACGCTTTAAACCCAACAAGAGAAGAAATTTTCACGCAACTATCATTATGTTAGCTAAGCCCATCCCACAAAATTCCTTAAATACTTTTTATACTATTATCTAACCATTAAAAAGACTATATTAAAAATTTAATAACTTTATAATTAAAATATTAATTACCAAAACAACTTGAGGATTGCGGGGGCTTTGATTAACCTGAGGAAACCACCAAATTAATATAAAGGTGTTGAACTACGTCAGATGCATTGAACCATAAACTGATACATATATAAGTTTTTCTTGTCTTTCATTTCTCAAACTTTATTGCAAATATTATACATGGTATGAAGACACATCAAATTTAGAAAAGTTTAACTGGAACTATGTAAGGTAAAAATAAAGTACGGCAAAACCTAGTTATGTTCATATGTATACATACCCAAGTTTAGAAATTAGTTGGAGCATGGCCTACATAATTAAATGTTAATGAGGTTGGTAGAATCATGCACGTGGTACCACGGACACTGCTTCTTCCTTCACGCGTTTTAGATAATCTACTATGTATATTTTATATGTATTAATCTTAATCTAGCTGTTAACCGTGATTCAGAGGAAACTCGGAAGATATAATTATCATGTTTCCCCTGCATCAAGAATAAATAAATGAGCAAAGTAAAAGACTAAAAGTTTATTGAAATTTAAATACTTTTATATTCAATCAATTTTGCATTAATGATAAATAAATTCTTACTTTATTATTTAAAAGAATCAAATTCAAACATATGTAAAATAGTGTGTAAATGTATAGAGCATTATTTTAAAATTAATTAGGGAGCGCCATTCGGTCTCCAAAATTTCTCCTCCTCTCCCAGCTTATCCATTCACTGTTTTGTGCATACATGGATATATCCATCATCTCTCTTTTTCTTTTTATTTTTCTCCATAAAAGACAAGCCCAAAAGCCTCCAAAAGGTCCAAAAGAATCTAAATAGATTTTCAATGTGGAAGAAAAAGGGAAATAAAGTTCATCCCTCACAAACTTGGTGGTCTATATTTATGACGCATGAATGAATATACAATATTCATCATTAGAGTTACAAAAGAACGATGATGCACCCAAAATCAAAATATTTATATCGCGCAATTGTCTGATGGATGCATGTGAAAGCTGCTAATAGTTATGTAACCAAACACTGGCTAGCCCAAGGCCAGAATGTAAATTAATTCGTTTAACAACTCAGAAAAATCAACTATGACTTGGGATATGATGATGCAGATAACTCATTGAATTGAATTTTACGCAGTTTAATATAATTAAACAAAGTTGTCATTACTCATTCCACTTGGAAAGGTCGAATTCTGTAGATTAAAAAAAGTTCCTAAACTCACATGAAGCACAACATCAAATTCACGATATCTTATACTATTATTACTACCATTAATTGCCGGTGGAAAAGAAAATGAATCTTCAACACTGCCCTTTTCCCAGATTCACGAATCGAATAAATAAAACTAACAGAAAAAAAAAAAACGAAGATTTAGATGAAAGTAACAAAAATAAAGGCAAAAAATGGGTAATAATGTTGAACTGTACTGGTACTATATATTATGCATCAGCAACTAATTATTTATACAAATAAGAGAAGAAGAAAAGAAACTAAGAGAGAAATTTCAAAATAAATGAATTTCATTCTCTCACTTCTCTCATCCAACACTAACCAATTAACCACATAATTTCATTTCATTTGCAAGGTTGTGCAATCCCAAACCCCCGTTTTCAAGCCCAAGAAATCATAAGCAGAAGCCGAAACAGAACCAGCAGCAGTATTGGCAGCACCAACGTTGGCAACAACGTTACCAATCCCACAGCTGCAATCTTTGCTATTCTGCAAACCCAAACTGCAAACGAAGCAAAGGCTTCTCTCGATGGCCTTGAATGGTTGATCAGGTTCGTGTTGACGCGGAGGACTAATGGTTAGTTCAAGGTTCAAGTCAGGGCAACGTTCTAAGACAGACCCTTTAACAACGTTTGTGCTGTCTTGTTCTTGTTTAGCAAAAGAAATCGTAGTTGTAGAAGAAGTTGTAACAGTACCAGATTCTTGATTTGTAGCTTCATTAAGAGGCCTGTGAGTTGCAGGGTCAATTCCTCTGTTCAGAAGCTTTCTTCTTATATGAGTGTTCCAATAGTTCTTTATCTCGTTGTCTGTTCTTCCGGGTAATCTTCCAGCTATAAGAGACCACCTAAAAGAATATTTTTTCGATTTAGTTAGAGAGATTACAAAAATGGGTAGAAGAAATTAAAAAAAAATTCATTTGAATAGCCGTTAATAATATGTGATTAATTTTATGAGCTTACTTGTTACCAAGGAGACTATGGAGTTTGATGATGAGTTCATCTTCTTCTTCAGTGAAGTTGCCACGTTTGAGGTCGGGTCGGAGGTAGTTGATCCACCGGAGACGGCAACTCTTGCCGCATCGGAGAAGGCCAGCGGCTTTGGGGAGAGAGCGCCAACAACCTTCGCCGTGAGCTCGAATATAAGATATGAGTCTATCATCTTCTTCTTTTGTCCATGCACCTTTATTTGTGTGAGCTTTCTCACAGCAAGGGGACCTTCCCATCACACTTGAGAGTTCAATTTCTGTGTGTGTTTTCACTTTAGAATATGAGATAGAATGGAATTGGAAAAAACCTATGTGTGTGCGGCTTCTTGTGTTGCAGCAACAAAGCCGGCTCAAGAAGGAGTTGGGGTGTGGTTTTATAGGCTTTTGACTCCAAAGGAGAGGGGACAGAACAGAGAGAGAGAGAGAGAGAGAGAGAGAGAGATGAAAGACCCTAATTGCTTCTAGATGTGAGTTGGTGAGACAGGTTAAAGAGAGTGGCCGTTGGGTCTCTCTCTGTGATATATCTGATGATATATTTATACTACTATATTTGTATGAATGATATAACTAGTTAAAAGACATTAACTGTGGGTAACCTTCAGGTTGGTGTAAAGTAGAATATATTAAAGTATGGGCAAGGCAAGACAAGATGTGATTTCTTGCCCCTTTTTAGAAAAAGAGAAGCATAATTTATATCTCATACGCTTTACCCTTAATATAAAACCGAAACTTGTCTATTTAATCTTGTGCTCAATAAAATATTCAGTCCCCAATTCTTTCTTCAATAATTGCTGAGTAAAATGTCAAGCGGTGGTTATGTGTAAGGAGTAAGCGATCTCTTTACTTTAATCATTTTGAATTAAAGAAATGGCTATTTCATTTACAATACATGTGACAGTGGAATCAAATTCAAGTTAGAGACTATTATTATTCAAATTTGACTTAATTAGAGCGATCTAACGGCCTTAACACATTTTAGTTTTTTATTATTATCTTGGAATGTTCCATACAACCTCTCCTCTTTCTAAATTTTATTTTTAACAACAAAAAAAAAAAATTTCATGTATTAACACACACAAGATGGTGCAATGTTCTTTCGACCGTGCTGATAACTCCTTTCGATGGTAGTTTAATTCTGTGTCCAAAAGTTTGTGCATATATTTGAGCATTAATGTTTCTCATTTCTTCCATCATATACTTAATTTTGAAACACTGTACTTATGTTCGGAAAATATCCGGCTATTCCCTATTTTTATTTTTACTTGTTCTGTGAAAATCACCACCTAATGTCGCAATACAGTAATAAATGCAGAAATTACACATGAATAACCAACCAAATAGCGTGTCTTCAACTTTAGAGCTTCGTGTGGGTTTAATTTCCCTAAAAAATTAGCTATTTCGGTAAGTTAGTTGTGATGGGCAATTCACTGAAAGAAATGTATCAGTGGTTGGCTATTCATGTGCCAAAGCATAGAGATGGTAATGGTAGTTGTGGTTCTTTATTCTATTGGTGCATTATCACGCATGAGAGAGAGAGAGAGAGAGGAATTAGAGAGATATGTTTCTAGAAGTGTAGGAGGTCGGGTTCAAGGAAAGATGTTGAAATAATGAGAGAAGGGGAGAGTGGGAAATGCCAAATGAGTGTGAGTGTGGTTGTAGTTGAAGTTGTAGTTGTAGTTATAGTTGTACATGGGCTTTGGTTTACCTTCCACTTTTCATTTTACTTATCTCCAAACCTTGTGGTGCAAGTTTAGGAAAGGTAGGAAAAGAAAGATTGGGATTGAGGGGCCTCATTTTATCTTTTTGTTGTCATCTTTCTCCCCCAATTGCATATTATTAGACTAGTTATCCACTACCACACATGTATCCACTCTCTCTCTTTTCCTTTGAATGTCAAGTTGATGGAAATACTTATAGCATTTTTGGATATGTGATAAATAATATATACATCTAGGAACTGTAATTTTTCTATTAGATTTATATTTACACTATTTTATTTGCAAACATACACTGAATATTCATTGGTACAAGTAGCCTTCACGGAAGAACACCAGAGTGGGAAAAAGATTCAGTCCACATAAGTAAATAATTGGGAGTGTTTCACCCACCTTTTCACTCTTTTGACTGTACTTTCAATTCAAGACCAAATCCTCCCTCAATTGTATCTTGAAATATGACACATACTGACGTGCTTTACAATACTACACTTAATATACCAATTAAATAAGGTCATGAACATTAACAACTCTTTTTTTTTTAATTGAATACACACACACACACACACAAGTTCTATACTTGTATTTGTGACAACTCATTTTAACCACATTCCCTTTCAAACATAAATTTTAAACACCATTTTAGTGCTAGTGTGCAAAAGAAATTTTTCTTCTCTATTTTTGAAGAGAATGAACAACTCAACTAAGATCAGGAGCATATAATTGCATTAAATTTATGATATTTTATTTAGTGAGGCAACAACACTACCTAACTCTATTTCGTAGGGTACCCAAAAGATGCAACGTGCGTATGATACTGAAGTTACCAATAATAAATAATGGATGAAATGCATAACTGTGCACGTCAATAAATTGAGCATCACCCATAGTCACTATCAGTTGGGTGTAATTATTACAAGAGATCAGCTTATAATGGCCTTCTTAGCTAACCCAAAAAGGAGGAGCAATCTAAGGGCTTCTCTCTAAAATAGTCTTGCACACCAAATGCAAACACCAGCCAAATGGTAAAATATAAAAATTTGGAAAAGAAGAAAATTGAAAGGAAAAGGGCCTCAGCTCATACATGGCAAGAAGAGAGAGTGTGGCATACAATTAGGATTTACATGGTTGTGTTTTTGTATGGTGATGGCCAGCACAGCAACACGAGTTTGTCATGTGCTTAGGTACACTTGTGGGAGGCTGTCCTAACTTCTAAGAGCCCTTACCTACCTCTTTGGCTGGCCTCCACATGTGCATCTTCCTCAACTTTATCCTTTTCTGCTGTGTCTATACTCTATATGGAGAATGGGGGATTATATTCTAGCTTTATATAATGGATAATGCTACGCATACCAATTTTCCATCCCTTTGAAAAACCTTTCTAAAAATAACGTGATTTTCTTAATTTATTGATATAGTTTATTAAAATAAGTTTTATGATTATATTTACGGTTAAGTAATCATTTTAAAAATATTCGAATAAGGATTTAATTAAATTGTGTATCCAAACACCTTATTCAATAAATTTTATAATTTTAAAAAAAGTTGAATAAAATAAGTAGTGTGATGAAAAAAATACTAATAAAGAGTTATAAAAGTGTTATAAAAAAAATCATTATAAATGTATTACTGCTCTTGTAACATTATTGGCACACACTAACTACAGAATCTGATCTAGAATAATTTTAAATATTTCTACTTTTTATCTATATTTTTTTAAATTATTAAATGAAAGAACTATTAAATACTTTTTATGTTTTTAAAATAATAAATACATTATTTTTTTCTTTGACACTAACAATTTTGATTTTCATTTTATAAATGTTATTTGAGTCTCATTTTAGTATTGCTCTTTGATCACTCATGATATACAAAGACTATATCTTCATGCTCCTCTATTAATATTATCAAAAGTTTCAATTCTAATAACTAGAATAATTCATTTACCCACACTTTTCAAAGAAAATTGTTGTGTAGACTAGCTTGCTAAGTATGGTATTTCTTCTCATTATACATTTGTTCAATTGGAGATTTATCCCCCTCAACTTAATTCCCTCACTTGTATTAACTAGAATTTGTATATAATTTTGTTTCTTGTTTTCTTTTGCTTCACGGATCCAAAAAATAAAAATAAAAATATTTTTTACAATATTACCCTAATTATTAACATTTGTTTAGAAAATGATAGCAAATAAGCAAAATAATTAATAAAATAGATAGATGATATAATGGGACGTTAACTAATATTTTTTATAAAATTTAGAATATCAATAATTTTATTAATTTTTCAGTAAAATTTTAAACACAAAAGTACTTTTATAGTAAAAAAAATTATTAAAAATATAACAAAACTTAAATTTATCTCAATTGATTATGTTTTTTCATTGCATAAAAAGACACTTAAATGTGCCTTTATATATATGTTGAAAGGATTTTCTCACATTAGTTTAAGTCAAAAAAATTTTACACTCGATCTGAGCCTTTTATTTAATTTATATTTAACAGTCAGTGAAATAATAAACTATAACTCATTAAATATAAGTTAAATAAAAAATCCAGATCAAGTGTAAGAGTTTTTAACTTATACTAGTACAAGAAAATCATATATATATATATATATATATATATTGTTAATTTTTTAATATGTATACTTAAAAAAATAAAAATAATTATATACTAAATCATATTCTGTGTCGATTTTTATTGATACAAATAACGAAATTCATCTCAACCTGTCTCGTTTATGTTGAGGACTTCCTTTTACCGCCTTTTCATGTGTTTCTTATTTAAATAGGACAGATTGTCCTCCAACCTGTAGATTTTGATGCATGAGGTAGAAGAGAGAGAGAGAGAGGAAGGCCATCTGAATCTTCATAAAAGAGAGCAAAGGACGAGAGGAATATAGCTAATGGACATAACAAGAACCTTCTCTGGCAGTCTAGTGCGAGATCTTTGTTCATCAAAAAATGGGAAAAAGAAATGTGTCTCCACTGTAATGTCTACTTTTATATTCATTAAAGCAAAATAAGAAAAAAAAGTAATTTTTGTTAAAGTTTAATTTATTTATTTAAGCTAAAATTGTATAAAAGTTCAGTATCTCAATTCTGTTTTTTTTTTTAAAATTAAAAAAAATTTAGAAAATATTTATTTCTCATCAATAACTTACTAACATGTAGTGTTTGTTGATTTCCGAAAAAAGAGTTTTGAAGTTAACAAAAAATTTATTGTTTTTTTTTTTTTTCCAAAAAATCATTTACAATAAAATATAAACACAATGCTCATAAGTAATTTTTTTTTCTTTCTGCACATAAACCACTACATATGATACTACACCTCAAAAATATATTGGATTGTTTTTATTTTTCACTAATTCTAACTTTAGCATTTAAATTTGATGATTTTGTTCCATTTTAGTTAAATTAAACTTTTGTATGTTGAATGAATGATGTAAGTTTTTAAATCAAGTATTTGGATGTTTAAAATTTGAAGTCTAAAAAAAGATTAGAAAACATACAACTAACACGTAGTAAGCTGAAAATACCCTCCATAAATTGTACCTTAATATTTTCAACATGTCATAATTTAAAGAAGATAATATAATCAAAATGTCATAATTTAAAGAAGAAGATAAAGTTCTAACTTTTTACATAATTTTAGCTCAAGTAAATTAAATTAATTTAGCTTAAGCAAATATAAAACTGAAAGTAATGCTTCCACACAAATTAAAGAGAATTTGAATCTTGTAATGAAAGGCATGAAGGCATCATGGAACCTCCATCGCACGGTAACTTTTCCAGAAAATTCAAAGGTTTTCATAATTCTGGTTTCCTCGACCATAACAAAAAGAGTAAATTAGTCTCCTTTAGCATGTCTACAATTCTTTTCTATTCTTTCACAGAACCATGAAACTGGGAATGTTGAAATTTGTATTACCTATAATTATGCTGCTCTTAAACCGAGTGTTCAGTTGTATTTTTAGTCTATTCATTCAAGTCACAATGGCTGTAGTATTATTCTTAATGGTTCTAAGAAGACAGAAACTGAAGAAGCAAAAATGAACCCAATACAGCTCGTTATGGGTCACACAAATGTTCCATCCAAAAGAGATGAGCAAATCCAAGTCTACTTCCCTCTTTTGCGAATTTCATACAAGTAGCTGAGGATCACCACTGCAGCAGTAACTACAACTCCGACAGCACCTTGTGCCAGTATGGTTCCGTCCTTAGGGGAAATCACCTTTGAACTTGGCACAAAACCTAGCTCTGAAAGTTTCTTATGCGATATAGCATAATCTCGAAAAAATGCATCCTCGTCCTGTCAAAGTGAGAGTTCAAAAATATGAGACGACAGTTTAAGTATTCCAATGATGTATTAACAGTAGTCAGAACATTGCTGCAAATAGCTTTGCTCTTCTCTTTTTAGCAAAACAGAAATTTCACATGGATGTCTTGGGTAAGTTGGTCCACGCACAAGTGCTAATAGGAACGTTATTTAGTTTAATGTAAACACTAACTTCATTAGTCTAAAGAAGGAAAACTAGACCAAGATAAGGCAATAGCTTGCAGAGTAAGCAGTTTTATTTGTATCTATTCTAACCAACCAATGGAGAAAAAGCCAGTATCACACATTAAATAAGAAAGTTAATTTGTTGGTTTTGCCACCCAACTAACACAAGGGGCAATACCATTTTAAGTTACGAAGCATCAAGACAGCTGAAGATCGCACTTATGGGGAAGAAGGATCCTACTAATCAACTGCTACATAATGCAATGAGCCCAGGCCAAAAGATTGATTTAATAATTAATGCCACAAGCCTATAAGTTTCATTACGTAATGGTAAACAAATATACTAATGAAATGCTAGTGAAAAACATTAAATAGTACTTTGCACATAGCAACGAAAAAATTTCAAATAGGGTTTAAGTAATGGTTATTTGTATTAAACAATCCCAATTACCTTCGCATATAGCTCAACATAACGGCGAAATTCAGAATCCTCCATTAAAGCCTTGTCTGTTGGAAGTTTAAGCAGCAGCCCAGCAGCATCTTCTCTTAAAAGTTCCCTGATGTTAACATGATAATTAGTCACAGAACTCTTTCCACATTGGGTGGAAGAAATGAAGCTCTACAAATGTCTTTGTAGGAAATGAGTACTATTGCACACAAAACAAGTCTTACACAAAGTATGAGTTATCAAACTTCAGAGGGTCCTCTGTCCAAGGGCCATCAAACCCTGATCTCTCTGGATGCGCTCTTCCCTTATAAGACCACAGAAACTATGATAAGAACATCTGGCCATAATCATAACAAGTAATAAAAAAATCCACAAAAGGAGAATTACCAGCGTATGTCCCCCAGAGAGTGCAACAATATCTTTGTCAGTCAAGCCCATTCGATAAAAGATATCACGGAGATGTGAAACACCTAACAACAGCATTGACATGTTTTTATGATTTCATATAACACTCTTAACCTTGTTCTTCGTTCATTGTGAAGGGAGTGCAGAAAATAGAACATCTTTCACAGCCCAAGTAAAGGGAATAGTTTTACAACCAACAAAAATTTATGAACTCACCTTGTTTAGCATCAGGAAGCCGCCCTTCTTTGGGAGATATTTTTGAATCCTAGATGAATAGAAATTTACATGAACAAAACAAGATCTGGTGATTTCATAACATTTAATATTCTGATTAAAGGTATGGAACACATACCCTTCTACCGGGAACAAAGTCAATTGTGGGACCCCCAGTAACCTCAACTGCGACGACACCCGCAAGCTGGAAGCACAAGGAGAAAGAAATCATTTTAAATCAGATTAGCATAATCTTTAAGGCAGTTGTTTCAATTCTTTACTTATGAATTGAATGCGCATATTGTTTTATAATAGGTATGCCCTACCTAAGTGATAATCCCCCTCCATCTCTGTTTCAATAGAAACTGGACTTGTGCACTGGAGTTAATAGGTTTGTATGTGATATACAAGAAAATCCAGTAAATGCTTGATCCTGATAGAAATTATTTCAGTAATCTAAAGGGAAATTTTAATTTTTAAAATATCAAATTGCCGACATTTGCCAACTGTTAACAATAGTACATTAGTGTATAAGAAAATCAAATGGTTTTCAACTTCAATGTAGAAATCTTGGGTACTACATTATTCATTAGTGTGTCAAAAACTAGTTACAGAAGAATTGGACTACAACCAGGTAAATGCTTAAGCTCCTGAAACTTACTCCATTAACTAAAACAGGAGCTTGACCTTCAATTGCACTCCTTTAAATTTTTTAACAATCAATCTCAAGGAGTACTACACCACTTACTCCAAAATTGATATAGCTAGCCAGAATTCTTGTTTTTAAGGCATTTTTTCCCTCTCTTTTAAGCTGGGGTTTCAAGGTTGCAAATTGATTTTTTCTTGGTAAAGAATCTAAACAAAGGAATTTGCAAGGATTGTAAAGTGATTCCAGGAGAGAGTCTTACTAGACAAAATAGGATATTGGTCCTTAATGTTTGTTTCAAGATTAGTAAATAGTGAATTCGACAAGTTATTGTTCCCATAATTAAGTGATAACTACTTAAAGGTACAAAACAATTGAACTTTCAAAAGGAGCTAGTAAAAGACGGTAGTTGGGGTTCACAAAGTAGTGCTAATATCATTTGGGAGACAAAATGACAACAAAAGTTAAGAAAGTTGTTGAGAAGATTTTAGGTGAATCTAGAGATCTTGGACCAAAACATAAAGAATCGTGACAGTGGAATGAAAGTAAGCAAGAAAAAATTAGAGAGAAGAGGAAGAAGGTCTTTAAAACTTTTCATACATGCAACAATATTAAAAATTGGGAAGGTATTGGAATGCAAGACCTTCAAACAACGTATAGTAAAAGAAAGATTTATAAGCTTGCCAAAAGTAAAAAAAGAAATCTAGAAATTTAGATTAAGTTAGATGTATTAATGATAGAAAATGAAAAATTTTGGTTTCGAATAAAAACATTAAAGACAAATGATAGAAATATTTCTATAAATTTTTTAAAAATGAACAAGGAGTAAATGAAGATATAGCAGGATTAGAAGTGCAAGCAAGTGATCTAAATTTGACATATTATAGAATTTGAGTTGAAAAAGTAAAAGAAGCTCTAAGTTGATGGACAATGGTAAAGCGATTGGCCCTAATAATATCCCTATTGAAATTTGAAAAAATTTAGAAAAACAAAGACTTGAGTGGTTCACTAAACTCTTCAATGTGATTTTGAGATCTAAAAATATGTTAGATAAATGAAGAAAGAGTACTTCAATTCCTATATAAAAACATGGGTGATATCCAAAATTATGCAAATGATAGAGGAATTAAACTTATGAGTTACACTATGATGTTGTAAGAAAAAGTGATTAAACAAATATTATGAAAGGAAAATGAGATTGCAAAAAATCAATTTGATTTTATGCCAAAAAATTTTATAGCAAAAGTTATATAATACAAAAAATGATGGAAAATGATCGCTGCAAAGGAAAAGACTTATATATGATTTTATTAACTTGGGAAAAACGTATGATTGAATACCAAACGATTTTGGGATCTAAGAATATGTCAGATGAATGAAAGAAAAACACTTTAGTTCCTATATAAAAACATGGGTGATATCCAAAATTGTGCAAACTATAGATGAATTAAACTTATAAGTCACACTATGAAGTTGTAATAAAAAGTGATTAAACAGAGATTACAAAAGAAAATCGAGATTGCAGAAAATCAATTAATTTTATGTCAAGAATGTTTACAACAAAAGTTATATATCTCTTATGAAAGATGAAAAAGTATCGCTACAAAAAAAAATTTATATATGATTTTTATTAACTTGGGAAAAATAGATGATCGAATACTAAGAGGAGTAAGTGTTATGGAAAGCTTTAAAAAAAATATCCATGTATATATTTTGATTATACAAGACATATATGAGAAAATAACTATGTGCGTAAGAATTTTTGGAGAAATATCTAAGTACTTCCCAATAGGAATAAGTTTACATCAAGACTCTGTTTTGAGTCCTTACTTGTTTAATCTAATCTTGAATATTCTTACAAGTGACATACAAATAATCATCCCTAAGTGCATGCTTTTTGTGGATGGACATAGTATTGGTTGAGAAATTAAAATAAAAAGTTAATGCTAAATTTGAGTTATAGATGAAAGCTTTAAAATCTAAGGATTTTCATTTGAGTAGAAGGCAAAGTATATGCACAGTAAGTTTAGTGAAAAATAAGATAAAGATCATGCGTTGGAAATTAAAATTGGAGATCATATCATACCAAAAGTTTCTAGATTTAGATATTTGAGATTGATTATACAAAATAATGAAAAAATTAATAAATATGTTGCTTATAAAATAAAAGTTGAGTGATTAAAGTGAAGGAAAACATTAGGAGTTATTTGTGACCTTAAAGAACTTATCAAGCTGAAAAAAAAGTTTAACTGTACTCAATATGAACGACTATCTTATATGGTTGTGAATTTTTTACCGTAAAAAAATATGAAAAGAAAGTGAAAGTAACATAAATGAGAATGTTAAAGTAAATAAGTAGTCGCACAAAAAATGACAAGAAATAATAGTATACGAGAAAATATTCAAATAACATTTATAGTGAAAAAGATGACTGAAAATCATCTAAAGTAGTTTGGTTACATGAGAGAAAACCTTAAAAAATATCAATGAAGAAAATGGATTCTATGACTCTGAGTCCAGTAAAAAAAAGTCGAGAAACACTTAAAAGAATCTTAGATAGAGTTATTAAAAGAAACATTTTAATTAATCAGGTTTTCGAAAATTTATTTTTTGACAAGCTTAATAGGGTCGTGTGTTAAATGTAGTCGATCTCATCTATTGGAATAAGTCCTGATTGTTGTTGTTGTTGTTTTAAGCCGGGAATTGTTTGTGGGTAGTATAAAACAGGTCAAAAGAGTCATTTAAATAATTAAGAGGCAATGAAATTTGTTCAAGGGAAACACAAATGCATGTGCTCTCAAATCACATAAAGCAACTAACCAAACCAAATAGTTCAGAAAAAGGAAGTCTACAGAAGAGCGAATAAGTCAGGCTTCCTCCTTTAAAATGGTTTATTACAGAACAGTCCCCTTATCCAAATTTAGGCCATAGCATAATTCCTTGACACCTTTGGTTAGAAACCTTGGAACCTAACAAACAAGGTACTAAGCCAAGAAAGCAAGCTGTATCCAATTAAATAGAACGAACAATCATTTTTATCTTTGGATAAAAATGGAAATTTTTTGGAGGCTAGCGATAAATAAAATAAGTATAAGAAAAAGAAGATAGAAGAGAGTGGAGGAAAAAACAGCAAAGAACCCAGACAAGCTGATTTAAGTAGGCAAAGTTTATCAATCTCTTTGCAATCAGAGTCTTTGGTTTTAACGTGTGGTGGTGATCACGGATGCAGTTGAGGTTCTGGTCACTGATGGCGAGCTTTGTAGGTATTGCAATGTGTACTGCAATTGTTGCAGCATAAATTTATTTTTATGTTTGCACTAAATGTGGGCACCTATCATGACTCACGTGCAAAATCTCACATCTCCTACTTCCCCCTCACAAGTCCCATTGCAATTGTAGTGTGATGCAGCTGCAAACACTGCTGCAACCACAACATTGCAGCTGCATAACATGATGCACTCCACAATTCGAAAGCATAAATAGTCAGAGTTGTCAAACGTCATGAGAGGGTGGATCTTAAGTGCAACAAGGCAATACATCTCTGGGTATGTTCAGTCTACCACTTTAAGATTCATTCATCCACCTCATACTGAAATTCAGTTTTGATCTATTAACAATAGAAAGCAGAATTGGATAAAGTAATTCCACTTAACACTATAGGGAAAGCTCATCTACAACTTTCACCTTATTAATTTAGTAAAAAATTATCAGATTAATTACAGACTTCCATAACAACTGAAAGAAGACAAATGATCACCTGGTAAAGGTCTGCATATGTAATCTTAGGATGTTTTGCCTTCACTTCCTCTGCAATATCAGAAAATAAGAAAACTTTTAGAAAAGACAAAGTGCCCGATGCAGTCCGAACCAATGATACTACTTTTGTACAAACATCCTAAGCCAGATAAAGAATAGGAAATTGGAATAGATTCTATTAAACACAAGGCATGATCATGACAAAATACAAATCAAATTCAAGCCTAAATGTCTCATCATTAACTCAATATTCAAATTATATGCACACAGCAAAACACGGAGCATTACTAATATACGCACAACAAAAAATACTACCTACGTCGCAAAATGGAATTGATAGTTGAATGAAAATTTTAGGAAAAGATAAAAGCGAAAGAATCAAGAAAAAGCATACCACAGAAATCAATAGCCTTCTTCAGGCCATTGTTGGCGCCATGAGAATACTCTTCCTCGCTCCTGATGGAACCGTTAGGTCCACCGGTCTTGGTCTTGGCATCGTAAGTGCCGGCATCGTGCCAGCTGCATCAGATTAAGCAAATTCAAACACGGAAAAATAATATAAAATCGCACGATCGTAGCGTTGACCGTTACAAAACGAAAACTAAACAAACAAGTTGCGAAAACCTTGAAATCTAAGCATTAAAATCAATTATTTGATCGAAGAAAAACACGAGATAGAGAGAGAGAGCATACGCTAAGCGAAGCATGAGAGGAGCGCAGTTTCTGCCGGCGATGAGTGCGCGGAGATCGCGTCGAGCCTTGTCGACCTCCTTGAGGTACTCTGCGTCGACCACCACCGGTAACGCCATTCGCAACGAAACAACGGATTTTGATTGACGGAAAGCGCTAACCAAACAAACAAACCCACTGCACTGCTAACTGCGAACTATGAAGGGAATGGATAACTGTATGAGTGGGTGGTGCTCCCATCACATATTCCCATACCTTTTGCACTTCTCTCTTGCCACGTGACATTAATTCATTGGCTCAAGTTTCCCAACAATTCAGCTAAAAAACAAATATTATTTAAATAAATAATTTTTTAACAGGTAAGTAAAAATTTATATATAATAAAATTAAATCTAAAGTTATAAATTTTAATATAATATAATTTATAATTTTTAATAAAAAATTATTATTTATTAACTTTATGCTATGTAGAATTTTACAAAAGTTTAAAAATAAAAATAATAAAAAAGACAAATGTAATAAACTTTATATGCAATTTTTAAGCTAAATTGTACTTTTAGCTTCTATATTATAATTTATATGTAAATTAGTTATTTTAATTTTGTTTACTCATATTTAATTTTAATATTTTTAAATTAAATATTTCACTTTAAATTTTATCTAATAATTAATAAAGTAATACAAATTTTGATACATCATTAATTTATACAATTTTGTAAAGTAAAGAGTATATAAAATATTTATAAAAAATATTATTTTTATACATTTTATTATTTTATTTAAATATTTTATATATTTTTTATATATTAATTTATATAAATGAATACTACATTAAATCTCTATTATAAATTTTAAATTATTGAGATAAAATTTTGTTGTGAGAGACTTAATTTGAATAATTAATAAATTAAAAATAAATGTAAGTACTTAAAATGAGAAAGACAAAATTATATATAAATTAAATTATAAAAATTAAAAGTGAAATTAAACCTTTTTAATATTAATAAATAAAAATGTATATGAAATTTATTAAATTATTTGAGTTTTTTTTATTAGTAATACTATCATGCACTCAATAAAAAATTGTGTAAGAAAAGCATTAATAATGTCTTATACGGCATATGAAGGTAACACCAATGAAAATTTCATGGCAAAATTTGGTGCAAAAATTGTGATGCTTATCTTTCACTTTTTTTGTAGTCTGAAATTGTAATGCTTATCTGATTACATTTGAGCATTGCCCTCTTAGTATCTCAAGGCCGATGTGGTTTTAAGTTCTCAAATACCAATTTTAAATCAAATAATAACTTCAATTTTTTTATTTTATGTAAAAAAAAATCATTTTATTCTTATATCATTACATATATACTGGATAAGACACTACTTAGTCATTACAACAGATAAAGAAAATCGAACACTCCTTCGACCTGACACTAGGATAAAAGATATCCGCACCCTTTTGCCTAATTAAAATAATTAAAAGATTAATAGTCAAAAATAAAAAAGAAAAAGATTCATTACCTAGATAATTAGAAGGTTAAGACAGAATTGAGTCATGAAGTCCGTTAGCCCAATATATTATCTATAAACAGAAAGTAAGAAGTACAAGTAAATGGTTGACTTTTGAATATTAAATAGCATTTATTACTCTACACCGAATAATGACTTCATCATCAAAGTGCCTTTGCAGGTACCCTCTCCCATGTCATAGCAGAGAAGAATCTGGGATATTCTACAAGGACGTCACGTCAGAAGACAAGAGGAGAGACTGCAGAAGAATAGTGTATCCCTAACAGGAATGTAACGCCCCAAATTTTGGTAATATTAATTATTATTGTTCTTATATATATAGCCCGAGTGGATCAAAGGAACAAAAACAAACAGATTAAAAGACTGAAAGGAAAGTAGGTAGTAGCAGGACTACTAAATGATATGCAGAAATTAAAAGTGCTGTATGTAAAACAGTTAACAAATAAAGAAACTAGAACGGTGGTATAACCAACACAGATCTAGTGAAGGGAGAAGAGAAGAAAGCCGGAGCGACGGTAGTCCGAACAGGACCGGCTAAGAGGGAGAAGAGAAGAAAATAATTTGAAACAGCAAATTTTATTGAAAGATCTTAAAGAAGAAGAAGGCTTACAAGAAGTTTTTCTCTCAGAGCTTCTCTCTCTTAAATCTCTCTTGTATTGCTAAATGAAAGGGTACCTCACAATATGGACGAGGCCTCCTTATAAAGAAAATTTAAAGTACTATTACTACAGTTCCGGTTCATTACTGGAACTATTCACTATAGTACCGGTTTCTAAAGATCATGGATATCAATACCGAAACAATCATCTTCATTTTGATTTTCTTCAATATTGGCATCTTGGTTAGAAGATTCTCCTTCTTCTTGGCTTTGCAATAGTAGGAGAACATCTTGAAGATTTTTCTTCATTTTTTCTTTGGTATCGCATCCTGATAAGAATGCTGCAATTTTGGATTTCTGATTAAGGAATTGAAATGTTGCTGGGTCTGCTAGATTTAGTAGTTTGGGATTTTTCCCAAAATATTCAGCAACTCCTTCTGGTCCGGCATGTTCCGCATTGAATTGGTTCCACCACTTTACAAAGGAATACCTGTGCAACAGAGGGAGAGTGTCTTCATTTTCTGTCTTGCCATATCTGTATTACCATGAGAATACCCATGCTAGGGCAAAGTCAGAGAAGTATTTAAGATCTGCTGGAATTCTTGATTCTCGCAGATACCTGCCTTTGTAGATTTTGTATCCTTCTTTGACAGGTGTGGGAAGGATTTCTTCAATTGGCCCAAAATAATCCCACCATTGGAGGAACCAATTTGGAAAGTCATAATTCTGATTCTTTTTAAAATATATTAACCAAGAATGTCGGTTAAGTTTATTTTGGAACCAGAAAGTTCTTGTCCATGCGTCAATGTAATCCCAATAATTATAACCTACTGGATCAAATGGTTGGGAAAACTTTTTATAAGAATTTAAATTTTTTCCAAAAGCCTTTGGAGTTAAGACTTTCAGGATCTGGATTGTTGAATGGGTTGTAACTGACGGATCTTTGTGGTCTTTGTAGTGTTTAATGGAAACAGAATCTGAATCCACTAAGATAAACTCATAAAACTGCCTGGTTTTATTAGCCTGATATGGTCTGAAATGAAATCCTGGTGGGAAAACCTTGGTAATTGCCTTGTATGGGTTTTTGTCCCAAAATTCAGGTTCTATTTGTATGACTGAGGAGAATTTTCCTTTGGCTACATAATGGCTTGGATTTGAAGTTTTTTGTTTTCCCTTTTGAAGGTCAAGGGTCCCTTCTGTTTTATTGGTTATTGTTTTCTGGGTTTGGTTGAAGGACTGGAGTATAGTGTTTAGGCTAGCTAAATCTAATTCCATATCTTCTTCAGAGGCAATGTCTGCCCATGATTTATTTGGTAGGCTACTCAAGCTTCCTTGTTGGACAGCTAAAAGCGTACTAATTGGGAGAGCATAGTCTGATTTGGTTTGTTTGGTGGTTTTGTTAACAGAATCAGTCTTTTTGGAAGATTCTTTTGGAGTTCCGGATTGCTGAGTTGATGACTCAACAATTTGGATTGTCTTTTGAGTCGATGACTCAATGGGGGTAGATGACCCAGAAGAAGAGGTTTTTGAATCTGCTGAAGCAGATTGTGGTTTTGATTTGTTTAGAGTCAGAGCTAATCTGACTTTGCCGCCTCTGGTGGTTCCTCCCCTAGAAGGGGTAACTGCCTTTCTAGGCATCTTACTTATCCTGTAAATATTCACGGGTAAGATAATCAGGGAGGGAGTTTGAAGTGCCTTTGAGATATTCTATGTCAAAATCAAAAACACTTAAAATTGCTTGCCATCTCGCAAAAATTTGTTTTGAGGCAAGATTTTTAACATCCTTTTGTAAAATTTCTTTGGCAGACTTGCAGTCTACCCTAATTAAAAATTTTTGATTTAATAAATCAGATTGGAATTTTGAAACGCATAAAACTATTGCCAAAACTTCCTTTTTAACAGTAGAATAATTCTATTGTGCAGAATTCCAATGTTTTGAAGTGTATGCAATGATATGCTCATGAGACTCGATTTTTTGTTTAAGGATACCTCCATAACCTATGTCAGAGGCATCAGTTTCAACGATTTTGAAGGCTTGAGGAATGGGAAGATACAGACAATTTATCTTCCTAACTTTGTTTTTGATTTCTTTGACGACATTAGTATGGACATCAGTCCAAGGGGGAGGATTTTTTCTAAGCCTATCATGTAAAGGCTTGATGATGTTATTTAGGTGGGGGATGAAATCCCCTACGTAATTGAGGCACCCCAAAAATCTCTGTAATTGGGTTTTATCAAGAATCCTGTCAGGAAATTTATCAGCAAATTCAATGGACCTACTGATAGGGATAATGGTACCTTGGTGGATATTATGTCCAAGGAATCTGATATTGGTTTGAAAGAGACTAATTTTTGATTTTGAAACGGCAAGACCGTTTTGTTTAATAACATTGATAAAAACATTTATATGTTTAAAATGTTGATCAATGGATTGGGAAAAAATTAAAACATCGTCAATGTAGACAATGACAAATTTTGAATAAGGATTGAAAATGTCATTCATGATTTTTTGAAATTCTGAAGGAGCATTTTTTAGACCAAAGGGCATAACATTCCATTCGTAATGCCCAAAGGGAACAGTAAAGGCAGTTTTGTACCTATCATTTTCGCAAATTTGGATTTGCCAAAATCCAGATTTCATATCGAATTTTGAAAAGATCTTAGCAGAATTAAGTCTGTTAAGAAGATCCTTTTTATTGGGGATAGGATGCCTAATCCATTGAAGAGCTTGATTGAGGGGTTTGTAATTGATGACAAGTCTGGGAGTACCCCTCTCAATCTCGGCAGGTTTATTAACATAAAAAGCAGAGCAAGACCAAGGACTCTTGCTTTTCCTAATAAGATTTTTGTCTAGGAGATCTGTAATCTCTTTCTGACAATAATGAAGGAGTTCTTCATTCATCTGTATAGGTCTGGCTTTAGTAGGAATCTGGCTATCCTTAAAACCTGACTCATAAGGAAGACTGACAATATGTTTTTTCCTATTCCAGAAGGCGCTGGGTAGGTCAGAACATATAGAAGTCTGGATGTTTCTTAAAAGGGATTGGATTTTCTTCTGGAGAGAAGGACCTTGTAATTGTTTTTCAATGTTGGCAAAAGAAACTTCTT